ACCTGCCGATGGCTGACACGTGTTTGAAGTCACTATGACACATCTGACGAGACGTTTCGAGTCTTTTGTCGTTTCTGCTACGGCATGTTGGGGAAGGAATCGAGGTGCTCATGTTGTTTCTCATCGTTTTTGTAAACTTGCTCTCTGAGAAATGAGGGGACTATCTGTATATGGGTAAAACTGAGCCCATGAGATGCCTTGTCTTTCGATGAAGCAAACAGAGCAAGAGACGCAACGACAAGGAACCAAATTCGAGACCAGGAGCTCCTCGAGCCGGGTCCGGGAAAAGCGCCCAGCCTCGAGAGTATCAAAGCCATGACCCCGAGTTCAGTTCGAATCCTAAAGGCCTCGGAGAACACTACCAGGTAACCGAGCATGACCAACAAAAGGCCGTGATATCCGTGACCAGCCGGATATCACGGTGTAGATCTCGGCACGTATTACTAGAGAACTAGTGGTTGGTTAAACAGAAGATTTTTTTACCTTTCATAGAATTGTACTTAGGGTAAAACTCCCCTACTATATAAATAGGGGTCTGATTATTTATTGGGGACATTGTAATACGCATATCAAGGCAATATACTATTACTTCTCTATATTATTCAAAGTACTAGTTCTTGTTCATCAATGCTTGGTCATTGTGAGTCCGGGACCGAGAGCGGATATTTTATTAAGGCTGCTGTTTAGTGTGGAATCACCCTCCTCAAGTGGTTTGATAATTTATTACCTCATTTGTCCGTTTAATCTTACGCAATTTATCGTTTGTATCGAATTAATCCACGTATCCTTAAAATCACAAATAAATTTCATTGCTATCCATTTTTAGGGTAAACAACAAATAGTTAGTAACCAATTAATTACCAAGTTATACTTTGCTTATTAGAAAATGAGTAATAATAAACTCTAAATGTATTAATCACCAAAAGACCAAAATTATTTTGCAGGATTGACAGAGGACAAAACCACTTCAGTGGTAGTAGGCAAAGGCGGAGTAAACGTCAACACCGGCAAAGGGCACTCCGGGTGCGGCAATAACGTCAACGTTGGCCACAAAGGCATCGGCGTAAGCACCAGCAAGGGTCCCTCCGGCAGGGGGGCACCAACATCAACGTCGGCCACAAAGGCGTCGGCGTAAGCACCGGGGGCACAACCCACGTCGGTGATGTAACTCGATAAAAGTAAAGAGAAAAGTTAAGAGAATTACTAAGAGAAGGAAAAAAGCAGAAATCATTCTTTCATATCTCTCAATGAACATTCTTCTGTTACATATACCCTTAATTAGGAAGATGGACTGAAGTGTAAAGTAATATAACTAATAGACTTAAGTGTAACTAAGTAAGGGATCAAACTGTCAATATTCCAAATCTATATAACTAGATTAACCACTTATTCCTTACTACTACTAAAGCATAAGTTACTACTTTACGCAGCTGTGTACAACTCAACTAATCATCAGATCATATCAGTCGGCGTCGACAAAGGAGGAGTGGGCGTGACCACCCCCGTCCACCACGGAAGGCTGCCGATCTACGTCGGTGTACGACCCGGACCATCACCGTTTGTTTACAATTACGTCGCCAAAGATGATCAACTTCACGATAACCCAAACGTAGCTATTTTTTTCCTTGAGAAAGACTTGCATCAAGGGAGTAACATGAACTCCAATTTGTGAAAACTACAAATAATTCAGCTACTTTCTTGCTTCGCCAAGTCGCAAATTCTATTCCCTTTTCGTCAAACAAGATGCCAGAAATTCTTAACCAGTTTTTAGTTAAACCCGACTCTATTCCCTTTTCGTCAAACAAACATACTGTCCAAGAATGTGAGGAGCTAGGTATTGTTAATTAGATGGATTTATGTATATATATTGAGTGTGTAAAAAGCTTTTATATATCCTTCGGAACCAAAAGCTAAAAAATAAAATTACACTTTATCAGTGCAATTCAATTGATTATATAACTACTCTATTTTTTCTGATTATTATATCAGGTTTGATATGAAAATCGTTACCTTTTACTGTCATCAACTTCCATGATGGTGTACTTAAACTCCTAGTTTGTAGTAATATATATGTTTGAAGTGAAAATTGTCCCACGTCAGAAGACGAAAATGAGTTGATATATACTAATACTAATACTACTACTAAACACTTGATATTCTCGTGAAACCCTCAATGGAAAACTCCCTGGGAATTACCCACGAATATTATGGGAAACTATTTTTCCACCAGCAATATTTCCACTGACCGCCTCCCAGGGGAATACCGTGGGAATATTGAAATTTCACACGGATTTCCCACCGATTCTTCCGTGGGAAATGTCTGTATTTCTAGTAGTACTTGATATTTTTAGGTTTATTTAAAACTTGAATTTAAATATAAAATGTAAATTTAAGTTGTATATTTAAACGAAGAACTCTATTTATAAATTATTAAAATGGACTACTTTGAATAGCTCCATCGTTCAATTCTATAAATTTGTCCCTTCTTTTGAAAATGGCTAAGCCAATACTTATAAGGACAAAATCTCTTTATTACTTTTTATACATTATATTTTCGAACGACAGGTATTAAAGGAGAAGAGAAGTACTGTGCTACTTCATTAGAATCCATGGTTGATTTCAGCACATCAAGGATAGGAAACAAAGTGCAACCAGTGTCAACAGAGACAGAGAAGGAAACACAAATGCAGAAATACACAATTCTAGGAGCCAAGAAAATGGAAAATGGGAAATTTGATGCTGTAGTTTGCTACTAGCAGAATTATGCATATGCAGTTTTCTACTGTCATAAAATAGAAACAGCAGAGTCATATATGGTTTCTTTGGTTGGTGCTGATGGAATAAAGGCTAAAGCAGTAGCTGTTTTGCATAAGAATACTTCAGCTTGGAACCCAAAACATTTGGCTTTTAAACTTCTTAAGGTTACACCTGGATCTGTTCCGGTTTGCCATTTCCTTCCTGAGGATCACATTGTTTGGGTTCCTAAGAACTAGATTTATACATTGGTGGTGTTAATTATCTTTATATTTGTGTTATTTTTAATAATTTAGAGTATGTTGTTCTTATTTGTAGTTAAAGTTTTATCTTGTAATACTTCAGTATACAAATAAATAATTTCAGCATATGTTTTACATTTCCACACTTACAAGTTTTGCTTTATTTCTTTGTTTTTGGGAGGGAACGGGCAGTTGAATTCTTGAGGGCTTAAGCATTGTGGGTCTCCTTCTTCTTCTTCTTCTTCTTCTTCTTCTTCTTCTTCTTCTTCTTCTTCTTCTTCTTCTTCTTCTTCTTCTTTTTTTTTTGCTTCTAAATATGAGGGATTGAAATAACCCCAAAAGAAATTTTAGGCATAAGCAAAAAATTCAACAAAGACTGTATAGAAGAAATTTATTAAACTAGGGAGAGAACATGGTAGAATACTTTTTCACAACTCATAAACTCTTGAATCTCTACATCATAATTATCTCTCCATAATAGAAAATATATAGTAGCATCCCTATTTATAATACTACAAATCAAATTTGACTAAACTAACAAGACATGAATTAATATGAATTTGGTAAATAAAACCTAACTAGACATAAATTAAGTAAACTAATAAATACCAAATCCTAGACAACTTAGAAATACTAATTAATCTTGGTTTAATTTTCAACAAAATCTTGGTGATGCCGTGTATATTATAAGAGTAAAAGCACGAAGGGTGATGCTGTGCCGTTCTATTTATTTATTTGGTGAGGTTGAGAGTAAAAGCACGAAGGGTGATGTCGTGCCGTTCTATTTATTTATTTGGTGAGGTTGAGAGTAAAATCACGAAGGGTGATGCCATGCAGTTTTCCCTTGCTGTTTTATTTGCTCAATTCGTTTAAGGATTTTCGGTTTAATTCTGTATTTTCATTATTCTCACTCTTTATATTGTATCCCCCACTGTATGTCTCCTTCCCATTATTTCTGCGTTATTTCTTTATTTACTGTTGTTGCCACTAGCATGATTATATTGTTCAGGTTATATGTGGGTGTCTTGTCCTAGCCTCATTATTACTTCGCCGAGGTTAGGCTCAACACTTACTAGTACATGGGGTCGGTTGTATTGATGCTGCACTCTGCACTTTCTGTGCAGATTTTGGTACCGGCTCAGGTTGATCGAGATTTTGCTATTGGTCCGCTGTCCGGAGACTCAAGGTTGATCTGTCGGCGTTCACAGACCTTGAAGTCCCTGTCTATCTTTTATGTCCTACTATTTTCTTTCATTCAGATAGTTGTATTTCTTTCAGACTATTACTTGTAATAGATTCTAGAATGCTCGTGAATTGTGACTCCAGATGCGGGTGGTAGTAATTAATACAGTTTTATGATATTCCGCACTTATTATATTTTATCTTAGTTAATTATTGTTAATTACTCAATGTGAATAAGGAATTGGTTTAATGATTCTCTAACGTTGGCTTGCCTAGCAAGTGAAATGTTAGGCGCCATCACGATCCCGTCGGTGGAAAATTTTAGGTCGTGACAATAAATAATTATTGTAAAATAGTACGCTTTAGCTTGACCGTAAACAACACCTTATGTGAGGTAACGATCATACGTCAGGTGCGCGATATTTACCCGAAAGATATTTAAGTTTTATAATTATGTACACATAATTTATGTTTTGTCATTTTATTTGAGATAATTTAAATTTTGAAAGGATGTAAATAATACTAACAAAACTAAGCACTTGGATTTTCGTTATTTTCATCATACCAATTAAAGTATTGTTGCACTTATCTAATATAGAGATTTTAGCAATTTTATTGATGCGAAAAATAGTTTTGTTATTAAAAAAAAATTAATTTTCTCAACTAACTTGTTTGGTTTTGTTGCCTAAAATTTCATTCTTTTTGGCTCCAAAAGCAGATGCGGTAATTTCTCCCACATGTTTCAAAATTTTCCCAAATCTTTCCCTTTTTTAATTTTACTATGCCTCAAGGTTTTATCTTTTCAACAATTCGGCTGAACTGCCTTCTTCCCTTTAAATTCCTTTCGCTTCAATTGCTTGAGTTGCGTTCTTTCTTCGTCTACTTTAATTTTGATCTAGTTTAATTACGTTTAAGTATTATTATTCTTCTCACTTTATGGCTCCTACGCTGACTTTTGAGATCAGGGATTACGTATTTTTAAATACCCTAGTTTGCTACAGTTGTCTCTCTCTCCTAATACACCTTAACCCAGCTACTTGGGACTCCTCTCCACGCCTTCAATGCCTTAACGGCGGGATATACCGGAAATATCGCGCGCCGACCAACTGATAGCTCCTTGGAATGCAAAGCGGCGGAGGTAACTAGGGTGAGATTTGATTTCTCCTAGGTCGACGAACGATTTTGTTTTTTTCTTTCTCAATAAAATATGTGTAATGACATTGTGTTTGTTTTCAATTGGAGTAAATTCTTCAAAACAGAGCAGCGAAGAGATTAGGCAAAAACGTCTTCTGGACCAGATTTTTCCGGAGCTTCAAACCCTAACTGTATGTCTTAATTTTACCAGAAAATCTAGTCATCTGATAGTGCAATCCCTTTTTCTATTCTTCTGATCTGTATTTTTCCGGCCAGATTTTGTGGCATTTAACAGATTTGAGAGTACAACTAGACAATCGGAGGTATCTATCTCTGTAATCTGGAATTGTTCATTATAATTTTTTATTTATTATTTTGGATTGAGAATACCCAGGCTCATCTAATTTTTTTACTTCTTTCAGACAGCTTTCATTTTCGAATTTTTGAGATTCTTCAAGGTATGTGTCTTATTTTCTTTTGAAAAATTCTTTTGTCATTTTATTTTTCTGGAAATGAGATTTTTATTTTTGATGTTACTGTTTGAATCTGAAAATAGGTATAATCTAATTATTTGTTCACTTTGAGAAAGGTTGAATTTAACAGTGTACGTTGGCCTTTTACTTCTCCAGCGTTATAAAAAGTAGCTTGACTGTATGTTGAAGGTGTTTGAATGTATGTTGAAGGCGAGATATTTTCCTTTTCTCTAGTTGCTCATTGCCAGGAAACACTTGCTAGAGGTGCTATTTTTCATTTGACTTACTCTCCCCGTTCATTCATGTGGTCGTGTTCAAGGATAACAACATTATTTCATCCAGCTTGGATAGCCTAATTTTGTATCTCGTATCTGTTGCTTCCAGTAGCCTTCTCAATTAGTAAGAGAAAGTATTGGCTATTAGAAACTCAACCTCTGTTCATAGTAATGGTTCCTCTAGATGTGAGTGTATAAAGTAAATGTAAAAGCATTCTACTGGTGCATCAGTTTTCAAATACATGATCCAGTAAAATGATTGCACAACTTTTACCTATTTCTTAGATTAATGGTAAGTGCAAGTCCAATAATCAAACTATAACCTCTGTTGCAAATTTATGTATATTTGCTTTTACATTACGTAATGATATCTTTGTGGTTTAAATGTTGAATGAAGTGTTTCAAAGGTTGTTCTCCATCCTTCATTAGTTCTTTCACACTGTCCTTTGTCTGTAAGGTCCAGGCATGTAATGAAAGCTAGCAGTGTGATACACATGAATCAGTAACTTAATTTTGCTAAATGATTGATCTGCTAAGTTTTAGAAATCTTTGTTTCATTAATCATTAAGGAAGAAAATAAAAGAAAATGAAGGAGTGGTATAAGGAGTAAATGACCAGTATGTTGTAGTGGAACAAGAAAATTGTAAAGAAAACAAAAAATTAACATTACGGTAGTTATAGTAGCCAGATATAATGGGGATACTCAGTGCAAATTATGGCGGTTTCTTCGCCAGAAACGAAGTTTGTAATTGAGAAAATTTGTGCAATTTGTGCAACGAAGCTCTGTTAATTGTCCTTGGAAATTTGGTGGAAAGGTTTATTTTGGTTGGAGAATACTGATTCTGTCAATGCATCATGGTTATTCTCTTTCCAATATAGTAATAGATAGACTATTTCTAGTTGTAGATCTTGTGTGGTTCCAGAGAACAATTTTTACACTTGCTATAAAGAATTTGGTTTCACAGATAAGATGTCCTCAAATGGGTTGTTTGTAGTTACTGCAGTATATATATGCTGAAGGCACCACTTCTTTTTCTTGCTTGAGCCTCTGAGCCGAGGGTCTCCCGGAAATAGCCTCTCTATCCCTTTGGGATAGGGGTAAGGTTTGCGTACACTCTACCCTCCCCAGACCCCACTAGTGGGATTCTATTGGGTTGTTATTGTTGTTGTTTTTGTACTTTTAATTTTTTCCAGAATGTTAAGCTTTTTATCTTTCCGTGTGTTTCACTTTAAAGTTTGAGAAATAAGGATACTTGCATAGTTTTTTTTTTTTTTATTAAGTTTACTTTTATAATAATTGTATTTTTTTGACAGGTTACTTTCAAACGAAGCTTGGAGGAGTTCATTCAAAATCAGTCGATTGATGATAACTATGGAATACTTGTCACTAATGATGTTAAAAGTCTCAAGTCTCAGATAAACTCTCTCTTAGCATCTGGTGCATTTCTTGTGCCTTTCCTGTGCCTCGTTCTCCAGCATCTGATGATAACTAAGGACTAGTTTATTTTATTAGTTTGTCTTGGATGGTACCTTAATGTTGAATATTGAATGTAGGTTTTTTTGAGTTTTTGTTCTACTTTCTGTTTAATTGGATATTGTTTATGAAATAGATTGAATTAGGTGTTGTATATGAATTGGATTGCATGTTGAATTTGGTATTTGAATGTTTAATTGTATTTAGTCTTGTATTGTTGGTTGTACTTTTTGTTTGGTAGGTGTAGTTCTAAAAATAAATTAGGTCATGCAAAAATATTTTCCAGATTTCTCACCGACTCTATGGGAATTTTATGCATATTTTTTCTAGAATTTTAATATTTCCCATTGATATTTGTGGGAATGTTCATATGTTTATTTCCAGGTTACGAATATTTTCCACTGCTTTCATGTGTAAAATAAAAAAATATCTAAATTATTTATAATATATCCCACTGATTCAGTGAGAAACTTAAGAAAATTAAATTAATATATTATTTTACTTTTCCCACGACGTTTGTGGGAAAATACACTATGTGACCCCACCAAGTTCTCGTAAAACCCTCAATGGGAAACTCCCTGGGAATTACCCACGAATATCATGGGAAACTATTTTCTCACTAGCCATATTCCCACTGAGCGTCTCCCATGGGAATATGAAATTTCACACGGGTTTCCTACCGATTCTTCCGTGGGAAACGTCTTTATTTCTAGTAGTGCTTGATATTTTCAGGTTTATTTAAAACTTGAATTTAGATATAAAATGTAAATTTAAGTTGTATATTTAAACGAAGAACTCTATTTACAAATTATTAAAATGGACTGCTTTGAATAGCTCCATCGTTCAATTCTATAAATTTGTCCCTCCTTTTGAAAATGGCTAAGCCAATACTTATAAGGACAAAATCTCTTTCTTACTTTTTATACATTATATTTTCGAACGGCAGGTATTAAAGGAGAAGAGAAGTACTGTGCTACTTAATTAGAATCCATGGTTGATTTCAGCACATCAAAGTTAGGAAACAAAGTGCAACCAGTGTCAACAGAGACAGAGAAGGAAACACAAATGCAGAAATACACAATTCTAGGAGCCAAGAAAATGAAAAATGGGAAATCTGATGCTGTAGTTTGCTACTAGCAGAATTATGAATATGCAGTTTTCTACTGTCATAAAACAGAAACAATAGAGTCATATATGGTTTCTTTGGTTAGTGCTGATGGAACAAAGGCTAAAGCAGTAGTTGTTTGCCATAAGAATATTTCAGCTTGGAACCCAAAACATTTGGCTTTTAAACTTCTTAAGGTTACACCTGGATTTGTTTCGGTTTGCCATTTCCTTCCTGAGGATCACATTGTTTGGGTTCCTAAGAACTAGATTTATACATTGGTGGTGTTAATTATCTTTTTATTTGTGTTGTTTTTAATAATTTAGAGTATGTTGTGCTTATTTGTAGTTAAAGTTTTATCTTGTAATACTTCAGTATACAAATAAATAATTTTAGCATATGTTTTACATTTTCACACTTACAAGTTCTGCTTTATTTCTTTGTTTTTGGGAGGGAACGGGCAGTTAAATTCTTGAGGGCTTAAGCATTGTGGGTCTCTCTGTTCTTCTTCTTCTTCTTCTATTTTTTTTTTTGCTTCTAAATATGAGGGATTGAAATAACCCGAAAAAGAATTTAGGCACAAGCAAAAAATTCAACAAAGACTGTATAGAAAAAATTTATTAAACTAGGGAGAGAACGTGGTAGGAGACATTTTCATAACTCATAAACTCTTGAATCTCTACATCATAATTATCTCTCCATAATAGAAAATATGTAGTAGCATCCCTATTTATAATACTATAAATCAAATTTGACTAGACTAACAAGACATGAATTTGTAACGACCCGGCCGGTCGTTTTGAGAGTTAGAGCCCCGAACCCCTATTAACTGCTTTCCCCATATCTATTTCTGCTATTGTGACTTGCCGAGATGATTGGTTTTGAGTTTCGGAGTGTTTTGGGACACTTAGTCCCTAAATGAGAGCTTAAGCCTTATGATTTGGACCATAGCCGGAACTGTGTGAAGACAACTCCGGAATGGAATTTCGTCGGTTCCGTTAGCTCCGTTAGGTGATTTTGGGTTTAGGGACGTGTCCGAATTGTGTTTTGGAGGTCCGTAACTCATTTAGGCTTGAAATAACGAAAGTCGAATTTTTGGAGTTTTGGACCGGTAGTGAAATTTTTGATATCGGGGTCGTTTTTCGATTCCGGAAATTGGAGTAGGTCCGTAATGTTGATTATGACTTGTGCGCAAAATTCGAGGTCAATCGGACGTGATTTGATAGGTTTCGGCATGAGTTGTAGAATTTTGAAGTTTCAAGTTCTTTAAGTTTGAATCGGAGGGTGATTCGTGATTTTAGCGTTGTTTGATGTGATTTGAGAGCTCAACTAAGTTCGTATGGTGTTATAGGATTGATTGGTAGGTTTGGTTGAGGTCCCTGGGGCCTCAGGTGAGTTTCGAGTGCTTAACGGATCAAAAGTTAGATGTGTGTTGCTGCTGAAGTCTTCAGGCTTCTGTCATTTTCGCACCTGTGGTGGAGAGGTCGCAGGTGCATGATCGCACGTGCGGAGAGGCAAGCACAGAAGCGGATTTGGGATGTGTGGTCAGGGGTCGCAGGTGCGAAGGGAAATGCCGCATCTGCGATGCCCGCAGATGCGTTAAAGGACCCACAGGCGCGGAGGAGATCGCAGAAGCGGACAATAGTCCGCAGGCGCGCACTCACAGGTGCGACCCTTTTTCCGCAGAAACGGACCCAGCCCTCTTAAGTCGTTTCCGCACCTGCGAAGGAAATTCCGCAGGTGCGGCGTTGCAGGTGCGACCCAAGGTCCGCAGATGCGTAATAACTGGGAAGAAAAGGGGCAGATTCGAGGGTTTGAAGTTCACTTCACAAATTTGATTGAGAGCTCGGTAGAAGGCAGAATTTGGAGAGATTTTCGGAGGAAGTTTTTGGGTAATAATTCTTAACTCCCTTATGGTTATATTCCACTAATCTATGCTTGAATTCATCGTTTAAATTCGGATTTGGGGTAAAAAATTGAGAAAAGTTCTTAGGCCAAATTTTGGTGTTTTGATCGAGATTTTGGTGTCAAATTTTAGTAAATTTGATATAGTTAGACTCGTGAGTGAATGAGCTTTCATATTTTATGACTTTTACCCGATTCCGAGAAATGGGGCCCACATGCGATTTTTGAGTTAAATTTCAGATTTTTCATTAAATGTTGATTTCGTTAATTAGATGAGTCTATTATTGTTGTATTTATGATACGTAATTTCTTTTGGCTAGATTTGGGCCATTCAGAGGCGGATATTCGTGGGAAAGGCATTGTGACCGATTAATTGAGCTTGACTCGAGGTAAGTGGCTTGCCTAACGTTGTGTGGGGGAAATTCCCTTAAGATTTGGAATTATTGTGATATGTGAGCGCCGTGTACATGAGTTGACGAGTACGTACACGGGCTAGTTGTGGTAAAACCCGATTTTCTTACCGAGCAGCAACATGT